CCTTCTCCCTCTCGTGTTGCCGGAGCGGATTTCCTTTCGTAATTGGGAAGTACACAGCTGCACTGTGCTTGCTGCGAGCACCGCCTTTCCTCCCTGCCTCTGCTTTGCTTAAAACACGGAGCCCAACACGGGCTGCCCCCAGGCCCAGCCCTGCACCTTGCAGTACGGGATGTGTTGCGGCGTGCCCTGCCTGGTTGAGTCCAGGGATGGAAGGTCCCATGGAGCGGCCGTCTGAGACCAAGGTGCAAACCGAGTGTGAGGACAGAGGTATTGCCAGGCCCTCGGGTTGCACTGTGCCTGGCAAGACCAGCCAGCCTCTGCCCAACTGATAGACTCCTAGGAAAGGTCTTTGGATGACGGGTGCTAGGTAGGCTGCCTGCAGAGATGGTTACCAAGCTTTTTCTTAGTTGCCTAATTCATGTTGTAACCCAAGAAGAAGCTTGATACCTTGGTGGCTCTGACCTAAAGTGATGTGATGGCAAATTGCCTTTAGCCTGCTGCCGGGTGTGCCTGCAGCTGGGGAAGCTGGAAGAGCAGAAGTGCTCCAGACATCCTCACCAGCTTTCCCAGCCTTCCCACGCACCTGAAGCACCCCTCGCTCCATGGGGAGCCCTTTCTTGGGCTTACCAGCTGGCTGAGAGCTTGCATACCTAAGGATGGTGCTGACTGCCGCTGTGCCACCTGGCTCGGCTGATGAAATGGCAGTGTAAGCCTTGGGCTTATGCCACAGCTTTTTTTTCCATTACTGGGTATTCTGGCTGGGTTATTGGAGAGGCTAGGAAGGTTTATCTCCAGTCCCTTCCAGTCCATCCACTAGGCTTTAGAAGAAAAAGCAACATATTTCTGGGACCTATCTCTGTGAAATGTGGCTTAAATTAGCCATAGGCTTGCAAAATTTGTCTTGAACATGTAATGGTTTGTATAAATTATGATAGGGTCGTGGGCAATGTGAGTGTGTGAGCCTCCTTTCTTTTAGGAAGACAACCAGAAAATGGGTTTATAAAACATGCAGGAAGGAGGTAAACAGTTTGGTCTCTGCAGAGGAAAATCATACTTCCCTGGTCTGTTGCAAGTCTTTCAGTACTTTGGTAAAACAATAGGTATTATTCGGCCAGCTTGTGTAACTTGCTTGGATGTTCAGAAAACCTCTGAAAATCCTCACAAAAGACTATTAAGAAAACTGTCCACTGGAGATGTACATTCCTGGATCAGAAACTGGCTGAGTGTCCACAAACAAAGTCTAGGAGTGACTGAGCAATTTCAGTGTGATGAGAGCAGAGGGATAAGATCCTTTACTGTTAATTCACCCAGAAAAGATAATGTGCAGCAGGGTACCCAAAATCTGCCGATACACTGGGGTCGTTCAGATTTTGTCAAGATGAAGTGACTCCAAAGTGATGCGGTGTGAGGCAATAAGAAAGTGGGTACTGGGAAGTGTGCAGCCGGGTGTATTGGAAGGAATGGTTTGTTCTAGGATATGGCTGGCTTCTAAACTACTGTGGCTACTCAGGGCAGCAGCATTGCGGGCCGGTGAACAGAGTTGCTTTTCCTCAATATGCAAAAATGCCATCAGAGATGTAAATCATGCTCAACCACACGAGGAGTAACGTAAGGAGAGATGCTGAGAGCATCAGGATGCTGTTCTGGCAGTCAAGGTCATTTCCCTACCCAGGATATCGTATGTGGGTCTGGTCACCTTTCCGTAGGGTCAAAAGAGAGGATATATCGGGGGTGTGCGGTGAGAGTGGTTAGAGCTGGAAGACACCTTGTGTCATGGGAAGGAGAGGGCACTTAATAGTAGTGAGCTTAGTAGGTCTAGAAAAAGCAAAGGCTTTTATTCTTTGCCTTTTCTCACTGTGCAAGGAGAACTGAAGGCTGTAGAGTTGCAGTGGGATCATAGTCTTTTACTCAACATCTGGAACTCGTTGCTGCAAGATACCATTTACAACCTAAAAGTTTACAAGATTCCCAAAAAGGCGAGTGAGAGGTATTTCTCTTTGCAATGAGTACATCTAGGCTGGCACTCCGGAGGTAAAAACAGGGGTATAACCATTCGTGCTCCAAAGCGTGTGACTTTCCTTTGATGAGTCTCATCCCATCAGTTCTTCCCATCCCTCCCCTGGAGCCTCCGAGTCTCTCGTTAATTCAACCAGGGTGAGTTATCCTGCCTGGCTCCCCAGTTGGTTCCCAACGATGATCTCATGACTTGGCTTTCTTCTCCTGCTTTTCTACTCCCTTTTTCTGTTCCTGGCAACCCTGCTCCAGCTCTGTACCTGTGAGTATCTCTTAACAGGCTGCTTTGGTGGCTTTTCCAATTTGGCTGACCTCCCCATCAATGCCTGTACCCAGCTGGGCTTTTACTCCTTCCAGTGACCTTTGTCATCGGTGCTTCAGCTGGTTTGCAGCCGTGCATCCATACCGGCTGAGCCGGGAGGGATCACTTCGAAGCTGAGCTCTCTAGGACACCGCAGCGAGCAGTTTGGTGGTCATTACCCAGCCAGCGTTGTGCTGTGAGCCTGATAAATCTCTGCAGCCGGGCAGGAGATTGCCAAGATATACCCATGAGCTGAAGGGGAAGGGCCCTGCACCCTCTCTGCACCCTCACCATCCAACACAGAGTGAGAAGGGCAGGGCTGGGGGGCCATCTCTGGGACAAGAAGCTGAAACCAGCACAGGGCCATGGTGGTGGCTTTCTCATGCTTTGGGCAAGTGATGGCTCTTTTGTCTAGCCCACCAGGATGGCATTTCTGGGCTTGGGTAAGCAGCCCCTAAGCATTGCCCAGAAGTGATGCTGTGCCATCCAGTCTTTATGTGTGGTATGTGGTAGTAGTGAAGGGTTTGAGGTGGTTGGTGGATGCTGGATAACAGGAGTGGTTCGAGGATCAGCAGCCTGGGTAGATCCTCCCATCTGTTATCTCTGCTTCCTTCTGCAGCTGGTGGGGTTTTCTCTCCCCTGTTCCACAAAGTGGCTGTGTTTCCACTGTTGATTTGTTGTTTCTAGACCATCCCGGTGATGCTCAGTTTGCACTTATCCATTGCTAGCATGGGCTTCTCTGTGTTTCCTGTGGAGCTGCTCTGCACAGGAGGAAGATCTCCCCGCGTCCCAGCAGTGATGCTGACGTGTGCCCAACTGTGGGTCTTGTGGCAATTGGGGAAGGGCACCAAAATAAATAAAATATTTGACCATAATGTAATAGATCGTAATAGCTAAATAGTAGAGCCTAAGCCTCCTCTCTGCCCTCTGTGTGGTTGCATCTGAATGCATCCAAGTCAGAGGAAGGGAAGAAAACAAGCAGGGGGTGTAACCAGCCTCTGATGGGTGCCCTGGGAGCAAGAGGAGGGCGGTGATTCAGCCTAATAAAGCTAATGGCACACAGCCAGGCAAAGGAAATTGTGGGATCGTGATGCAGCAACTGTCCCATAGCAGTTTTCTTCCATCATCCAGCTGTGACTTCATGCCCCCACCGCCCCACCTTTCTGTTCTTTCCTGTACCTGAACATTCTCCCTGCTGAGAGGAAGGGGGTGAGAGACCATGTCCTCAGGAAGAGTAGTCATCCATGAGAAAGAGGTGCACCTAAATGGCGTGAGAGTGAGGGAATAAGGAATCCAGAGTCCAGAACTTCCCAGAGTGCACGCTCTGGGACTGTGTGTGGTGGGACGAAGCACCTGGGCTCTGCCAGCAGCCCCCAAACTCAGCAGGCTTCTCCAGATGACCTTGTCCTTGGACACTGGATCCTGGGGAGATCCTGTAGCTCAGAGGAGCCCAAGATAGCAGGCGGGGTTGACCCCTAACTCCAACAAGGCTACGCTGTCATCCAGCTGTCATGTGTCTAACCAGGCCTTTCTCTTCTCTCCCCAGGGAAGACGATGAAGCTGTAGAGATGCTTCCCTACGTGATCGCCACCCTGGGCTCAGCAGGGGCCACCTGCAAAGCCTCCACATGCAACAACAGCACCAAGGACTACTGCTACAGTGCCCGCATCCGCAGCACTGTGCTGCAGGGGCTGCCCTTCGGCGGGGTGCCCACTGTCCTAGCCCTTGACTTTATGTGCTTTCTCGTAAGTCTACCTACTGTTGCTTCAGCACCTTCTCCCGTAATTAGCTGTGAAGGGAGGACTGTGGTCGGGCGGGGTTGAGGGCCCTAAATGCCATCCCTGACTTTGCTGCTGGCTGACTTTATGGCCTTGATAGTGTCCTTTAGCCACTATTGACTTAACTCCAGTACCACCGCACTGAGCCCATGGAAGGGTGTTGCAAGTTTTCTTAAGGATGTGGATCAGGTTAGGTCAGGACTGCATCCCAAAACTCCTGCCTATGGTGCCAGGTCCCTGCAGATTTACCCACCCAAAGGCTTTGCTTGTTCTTCCTTAGAAACGGCAGGACCAGAGATGCTGTAGCCATAATCTCCCTTCCTTGGGACCTGAGGGCCTCTTGATGCTGTGGCTAACTTAGCATCTTGGACCTCTGCCTCGCACAGCCATCCAGATAGTCTGATTTTAACAGCCCTGAGGAGCTTGTATTGTCCCATGGGCTCAGTATGCTGTTAGCTGAGCAGTACTGTCCCCTCCTACCCTCGCTGTTCCTGTGGCTCTGGACGCAGAGGACAAGGACAGAGCTGGACAATGCCTCGTGTCACAGCTCCTTCTTTGCTCTCTTCCAGGCACTGTTGTTCGTCTTTTCAATTTTGCGTAAAGTTGCTTGGGACTACGGACGCCTGGCCCTGGTGACTGATGCTGACAGGTAAGTGTGGGAGAGGGGCCGGAAAACAGGACATGAGTGGTACCCTTCTTTGCTGTAGGGCAGAAGGGATAAATCCCCTTGCGTGTGCCGGAGGCAGCTGGGGAGGAGAGGCAAGCGTGTCAGTTTTATCCCCTGAGCTCCAGGAACAGCAAAAATCCCTGCTTACTGGCTTTTTGTTACTGCATCCTTCGCCCAATGCAGTGGTCCTCACTGGCTCCGTATGACTGATGGTCCCTACGGTGACAGAGGTGTGCAGGGGCCCTTAGAGGAACAGCGGATGGAGGGAGGAGAGAGGAAAAGAGGTCACAGGAAGGGTGAGGGCTGCCATGGTGAAGGTTGTGTTAAGCCTCTGAAGGTGTCTTTGTGGGTCTGCTGGATGCAGTTCTTGTTAAGAGCACTTGAAAGTGGTAGGCTGTGTTTCCAGGTGCGGTACTGCTGTGCTAGTGCAAGTTTAGCTCACATCCCAAGTGCTGATGAGTCGGTCTGGGTATGGATCCTTCCTGCCCAATGCATTCGTGGGCTATGATGCCTCTTGGCAAAAGCTGGGGCCCACTGGGGATGGCAGCTCCACAGCAGAGTGAGATGCTATTCTTGGTTTTTGCTGTCAGCAGCAGGAAGGACAATGATTACTTTCTTCCAGTGCAGAACAAGGAACTCTCCTTGATTAAGCTAGAGGGGTTGTGCAGGTAGTCCGCCTCTCACCAAGGGTGGTTTGCTGTGCCCGTGGTGCTTTGTCATGTGCTGGAGGCAAAGTGTGGCTTCTGAAGGCTGGCTATGGTAAGTTGTTCTTCCCCTTGATCGGCTCCATGAGTTGCGTCCAAAGGCTCAGATGGGGCTGAGCTCCAGCCTCTTTGGTTGCTTTGGCGATAGAGATTCAAGCAAGCCGCTCTTGAGCTTTCCCTGCATGACAGTGGAAAGAGTAAGAGTTGTTTTCTTCCGGCACCGAGTCAGGAACTCCCCTGGTTTAGATAAGTGGTTCTGGATAGCATTAGATAAGCAGCTGTGTCACTGTGGCTCCTCTGCCCCTCCTTTCCTGGCCTGACTGGGGAAATCAGCAATGCAGGGGCATTGGGGGAAAGTGAGGAGAAGGGAATGGCTGTATGAGACCTCACTGGGAGAGGGCAGCAGCTCCTCAGGGTTAAGCTGTGTGGACCCAGGCACTGGCTGTTAGCCACAGGGGCTGCACAGCTCTGGCCTTCGGTGAGGAGAGAGGACTGGCCCTTCTTGGAGGTGATGCTTGAGCACCTTGGTGTGAGGGAGTGGGAACAATGGCTGTAGGCAGAAAGGCAGAGGGTTGCCAGCTGTTTGGTGAGGGAGAGCTGGTAAGCGCAGGGAGAGGGACAGCATGGCTGTGGTAAGGGCTGGGGATCACCAGGACTGGAATCCTAGGGAGGAGTCCCTGCTGCTTGGCCCATCCGCGGGGTAGGATGAGAATTTTGGGGAGGAGGCATGGAAGGGAAGCTCAAATGGCAGCCGATCAGGCTGTCCTGCCTGGCCCCATCCCTCGGGAGCTGCCCAGGATGCCCACAGTGTGGAGCACCTTCCCAGTGATGCCACCTTCCCTTTAGCTGCCAGCAAAGCGCTCTGCCCGTTGTTGTGTCTGGGTGGTTGTGGCTTGGGGTTGTGCTGGGCTCTGGAAGAAAGGTCTTCTCCAGACTGACCATCAGCAGGTTTCTTTTCCTCAGGATGATGTGGAGCCATGTCAGGTGTGTAGCTCCCTGCGATGGAGGAGACCCAACATCTGCTCCCATGGTTGTAACCTCTCCCTTTCTGTTTCTGTGCCCCCAGGCGCCGACGCTGGCAGACGGAGCGAGAGGAACGGGAATAGTATGTTGTTTTTTCAGGGTCTTGTTTCTTCTCTCTTTCTTGCTCGCACTCTCTTTTTCTTCTTTTCTCTTGCAGTTTTCTGTATTGCTTCTGAACTAATCTAAGTGGCTGGGAGTTTGGGCTTGGATTTGTGCCTCTCGGTGGATTTGTACTCTTCTCTTCCCCTCCCCTTTGTGTCAATCACTAACACAGCTGGATGCACCCCGGTTTTCCCCTGGTAGCCCTTAAATGCTCCTTGAGGGCAGCAGTGCCAAGGAGCTCCCAGTCCCAGCAGAGGGTGCCAAGTCACATACCCTGCTGTACCTGTCCATGTCCAGCTGTCCTGCCTTGCACTGGAGAAAATAAATCTGGTTGCCTGAGCCCACGGCATGCTCAGGTCACCCAGGTGCAGGGGACCCTCCTTTGCCTGCTCCCTCTCGTGCCAGGATGCCACAAGGGCTGTTCCCACACCAGCTGCAAGGGCAGGCAGGTGCACAGAGAGGACCTGGTAGGCGGTTGCAAGACTTTTCTCTTTTTCCTTTACCCTCGTGAGGCTGCTGGGACCAGGGCAAGCGTTGGCCCTTGTCCCTTGCCACTGACCCCTGGTTGGCAGCATGCCCAGCCCGGCAGCAATTTTGTCCTTTCTCTCTCCCCCTGCAGAAGCAAACTTCCTACCTCAGCACTGCTGAGAGCATCCTCCGGCACCTTGGCCTGGTGTAGCCCGTTAAGCACTGTCATGGACCCTCCCTCCCTGCTCTTTTCTTTCTTGCTGCTTTTATGCTTAAGAAAAGAGCATCCCCTATCCGTTGCCAACTGGCTAGGTAGTCACTCCAGCCAGGCTGACATGTGTCTGAGGCTTGCAGCCTTACTTCTTATACCCCATCACTTGGAGAGTAGAGGCCTGCTACTGGCTGGAGAGGGTACAGGGATGTTCCAATTTTTGTAGTTGCTCCTTGCCCCCAAAGGAGCAGAGCAGTCAGGGTTGTGAAAACAGAGGTGGTGGTAGCTGTGGTACGTGGCACAGAGGGGACCCCTCGCTCATGTTTGAGTGCTTCACTAGTGGTTGTCCCTGCTTCAGGTGTGTCTGACAACTTTTGACTGCTAACACCTTGCAGGGGAGTAAGGCAGAGGTAGCAGAGCTGTTGTGCTTTGAGGCTTTTCAGGGACACACACCTCAGTTATCCTCACGAGTGCTTGGCTCTCTCCAAGGGGCTGCTTCTTTCTGCTCCCATTCTTCATCTGAGCTTGCTGGAACTCTCTGCTCCTCACCCCAAACCCAACCTACTACTTGAGCTGGGACAGCGTTGATAGCCAGAAACTTTCAAAAGCCTGTGGGGTTCAACGAGGAAACCTCATCCTGGCTGTGTTCCTCCAAGGCTGGTGGCACTTTCCCATCCCAGCTGTTCTCTGTGCCGGGGTGCGGTGGCAGATGGTGGGTTAGGGACATGTGTATGCTATCTTGTGCTCCCAGCCTTTGAATGTGCAACATTGCTCTTGGTGTGGGAGGACATCCTCCTCTGATGTGTCCCTTTGCCTGAGAACCAGCAAGTGCCCTTGTCCTGCCCCTTGCCAGGGCTTGTGGTAGCCATCAGCACTCTTAATTGGTGACTTAGTCTGCACCAGGAGGTCATGGCAACCTACCTGCACCTCTGTGTGTAAGGCCAGTGATCAGAGTCCTGTGGAGCTTGCCACCCACGAAGCCACCTCCCACCTCGCACGCAGCAAGCCCTTTCCATGGGGCTCCCAGAGCCTGCAGTTCCCTTGGCCTGAGGCTAGCCCTGTCTCAGACCCTGTCCTTCTCCTTCCCTGGCAGGGCTGGCACCAAACCTGGGGCAGTGGGCGGGATCCCACCTTAATCTTCTTGTGGTTTATGGTGGCCTTGCCTCCACCCACTTGCTTTGTTAGTGCTTTGCTTCAAAAAGCCTCCAGCTTGGTGCAGGTACTCTTGGAGCTTCCTCTTTTGGCTTCCCATCTTTGGCAACGTTTTGCCTCCTGTGTCTTCTCAGCACTGCTGGTCATCCTGATTGTCATCTCTGCATCCCCCTGAATGGAGCTGAATTAGTCCAGTCATCTCATAACGTAGCACTCTTCTCGGTTGTTCCCTCCAGTGCTGCTTCTGCTCTGCCCTTTGCTTTTCCAGTACCGAGGAGCCAAACCCACTGTGTCATCGTGCTGGGCTCTCCTCGGGGCTGTGGACAGCAGAAACTCACCCTCATTCCCTGCACCCAGCGGCAAGGCCTCTGGGATTTTAAAGGGCTGAAGGTCCAAAAGCTTGGTCGAAGCTCGCTCTGTCCCTCCAGCAGAGCAGGGTGTTGGGCTGTGCAGTCACGGGGCTGCACACCTCTAATCTGCACTGCTGTTGTGCAATGACCTTCAGTTAATCTCCTTTCCCCTCTCTCCATTACTTCCAGCTAGGGACTCAGCAGGTGCTGCTCTGTTCTTAAGGAGGCCATGTGTCCCATCCTCTTTCTTTTGGCAGGGTCACGAGGGTCTTTGCTTGTTCTCCTTCCCATGCTGTCATCCACCTCATCTCTACCACTTGTTTCTCACCTGCTTCTTCTCCGGGTTCTTGTCGATGTGATCCTCCTTGAGCCTGTACTGGTTACAGGGAGGTCATGTTTTCATCTGGGTTTGTTTTTTTTTTTTTACCTTTGCTTCTAGCCTTCATATCAGCCATATCTCTTCTTGCACCTCCAAGGTCCAGGCCTGCTGTTGTCATCTTGCAAGTGCTATTTAATTTAGGTCTCTGGACCATTTTCTTGTCTCCTTTGCCAGCTGCCCTCTGCCTCCGTTCATAGTGGGGGCTGTTATCTGCCTTGAATGCTTCTGCTGCAGGTTCTTCATCTAGGTCCCTGCCTGTGCCTGGAGTAAAGCGATCTGGGATATTCACCTCTCTTGCTTTCCTGTCCTGTAGCCTGCGGTCATTCACTTCTAGCTGTCTGCCCCACTCCTGCTGGAGGGATTTCCAGGCAGGAGGCCCAGCTGAGGCTGTGGAGCAGGTTGGGCTGAGCCTGGCTCCAGGCAGCAGAGCCGCTGGGGCTCAGCTGTGTTCCTCCTCCTCCTCATCCATTTCCCTGCCCTGAAGCACTAAGGGTGAGGAGGACTGATGTAGCGGGATACAGCCCACTAGATTCCCAGCCTTCCTCTTCCCTAAGGTGAGTGAGCCCCTTCAGGACTGGAGCCACTGCCAGCACCTCTCGGGAGCACCGGGGCTGCCGCCTCATGGCCGCACCGGACCCGGAGGGGCCGTGGCACACTCTGGTTCCCACCTCCTCTCCTCTTCTCTAAACAGACCTCATCTCTCCTCCGTGGCAGCCACTGCCAGCCCCTCCTCGCAGGGGCTGCTGCATAACGCGGGTGCCTCTCGGAAGGTGCTGAGCGAGGGGCATCCATGGCCATGCCCGTGGTGGCTGCCAGGCTCAGGGTGCCCTCTGAGGAGGAGTCTCTGCTTACTGCTGCCTCTGCTCTCTGTCTCCATCTCACCTGGGGCAAACTGCCCTGAATTAACCTCTGGTCTTCTGGGTGCTCTTGGTTCATGGCCAGGCTGCCTCTTGCATCTTCTAACTTTCTCCCTTGCCTCCCACTTGTCATTTTAGCGTAGCCTCTGCCCTGCACTCTGACAGCCATGACCGCTATGAGCGTCTCACCTCCGTCTCCAGCTCTGTGGACTTCGACCAGAGGGACAATGTGAGTAGCAACAAGAGTCAAACACCTTGCCTTTGAGTGGTCAGGGGCCCACAGATTGTCTGAACCAAGGGCTTTTCAGAAGAAACGCTGTTTGCCCATCCCTGAGCCTTAGGTCCCACACCTTGTAGTTTGTGAGTGTGATATAGAGCTCAAAGAGACATAACTACGTGGCTTCTAGACATGTGCTTAAGTAAGTAGGCTGTACATCCCTGTCACTTAACAAACGTCTGTCCAACTTACCGTCTCAGCATTACAAACAACACTTGCCAGCTCTTCCTCACGCCGCTGTCTACCTCTACTGCCGTTTTCCTCTCTAAAGGAGAGGCACATTTCAGTAGGATGACAGGGTATGATGGATGGGTGGTGAAGCTCCCAGGTAATATTCCTCCCCTAGATGTCCTTTGAGGAGCACTGGCTTGGCCCAACCTGCCTTCCCAGTCCCTGCAGGGCTCCTCTTGTCCAGGATGATGCCTCAAGTACCTGCATGGTGAATTTTCTGGGTGTCCCTAGGCTGTGGAGAGCTTCCATGCTAACCAGGAGCCTGTGGGTCACCTGGGAGGTTGAGCTGCCAGTGTCCAGCCTGCATTGTGCCCCATGGAGTAGCACTGTCATCCCCTTCACCTTGCCCCGTCCGTGGCTCTGCATGTCTGGGTGCTCATGGTCTGTCCCCAACCTGAGCCAAGTCTTGGGGCGTGCAAGGACACCAGCCTTGTGCCCTGAGCCTCTGAAGATAAGGGAACACAGAGTGATGTGAGACCCTCCTGTCTTCTTTCCACACAGGGTTTCTGCTCCTGGCTGACAGCCATCTTCAGGATAAAGTAAGTGCCCTGGGACCTGCACAGGGGACCCATGTGGGGAAGAAGGAGAGGCAGTGCAGGGTGTTGGGGCACCCAGTGCAGTACAGCTGTGTGAAGTTGCTGCCCTTGCTGCAGCCCTTTCTCTGAAGGGCACAAGCAAAATGTGTCCTCTGGAGAGGAGAAGCAAAGACGGGACTAGATGAGGAGTCCTAAAGCCAAAACTAAGGTCACACAGTGAGTCTGTGGCAGAGGAGGGCACCCAGCCCAGGTCTCCCCTGCTTCAGTCCCATCTCAGAAACACTGTCTGCTGCTCCACAGCGGTAGCCATCAGCAGAAGAGGCAAGGCCCACCAGAAGGGTCTGAAGTAGGTTGCGTGTGTCCAGCTGCCTGTCCTGGGTGGCAGAGGGCAGAGGCATGGGGAGTAGGGCTGCAGTTGTGCATTGCAGGGGGCAGGTTTGTGCCCAGGCTGGTTCAAGGCTGGGTGCTGGGCTCCCTGCCCTGGGGCCTGGCCACAGCTCTGTAGGGCAGAACCAGGGGTGCTGTGTAGGCTCAAACCAGGAGGGCAGCCATGACCGTGTGCTTTTCTTCAGCACTTGAGGGAACGTAGAAGATTGCCTGACTGCCTTTCTCTCCCCAACAGGGACGACGAGATCCGGGACAAGTGCGGGGGTGATGCGGTGCACTACCTGTCCTTCCAGAGGCACATCATCGGGCTGCTGGTGGCCGTGGGTGTGCTTTCTGTGGGCATCGTCTTACCTGTCAACTTCTCAGGGGACCTGCTAGGTGAGAGCAGGGAGTCTTCGGCTGGGCTGGGGGAGCAGTTTTCAACACCATGTCCCAGACCGCTGAGGAGCAGTGGAGGTCAGGACAGGCCTAACACGGACAAACCCTGACTGCTGTCCCACTTTGACCCTCTGGATGTGCCACACTCATCCTGGGCAGCTTGGGTTTTGGGGTGTTCTGCAGGCGATATTCCTGCCGTAGCCCACCCCAGCGGTGCTCTGTGCCACTCGGTATTACTGAACATGTTTGTGTCTGCCTCTTTCTCCCTAGAAAACAACGCCTACAGCTTTGGGAGGACAACTATCGCGAACCTGAATTCTGGGTACGTGTGGGCAGGGGTGGGATGGATAATTGAGGCCCTCAGAGGATGTTTTTTAAATGTTCACTTGCTGCAGAGCCTCACTTCCTTGAAGGTTGAGTTTCTGCCTTTGCTGTGAGGCTAGTGTCCCTGCTCCAATTTCCAGGCTGAGCTCCTGGAAGCTGGTTGTAGGGCATGTGGGTGCTGTGCCGGTTACGCTGCTGGTGGCCCCAGTGCCTTCAGGGTCTGACCAGCCATAGGCAGACTTGTAGTGGCAACCTTGTATTGACCTTTGTGGTCTCCCTTGTGACAGGAATAACCTGCTGTGGCTGCACACGTCTTTCGCCTTCCTGTACCTGCTGCTGACAGTGTACAGCATGCGCCGTCACACCTCCAAGATGCGCTACAAAGAGGATGACTTGGTGAGCAGGATCTGGCCACTCTCCCAGGCACATTTTCCCGTGCTCTTCTGTCAAGTCAGGTGGCCTTGGAGAGAGTGCCAAGCACCCCACTTCCCACAGCAATTTGGGGCTGTCTTGTTTTGGCTTTTCTTTTATTCTGCCTGGCCAAAGGCAGATCTCCTCCAGAGCAGCAGCCCTGACTGCCTTTGGGGAAACAGGAGAGACCTGTGCTGGATGAATGTGTTGAGAGAGTCCCCATGCCTTCCTCAGGGGTTGCTCCAGCTGCTTTTACCACCTTCATTTCTTAAGAGTACCCCCTGTTTCTGTTGAGGCAGCTGCAGCGTAAGCCCCTAGCCTGTCAATCTGCAGCGTACCAGGATGCCAACAGCTAGTGGAAGCGTAGGAAAGGGGGAGCACTGGGTGCTGGAAGCAATGGGGCTGCCCATTCCCATTGCTGACTCAGGCCTTGGGGGGTTTGCTGCAATCTGGTCTTTCACAGCATCCACACCTACTTGTCCTCTCCTTTTTTTTTTTCTTCTTTTTTCTCTTTTTCTCTTCCTTCCAGGTTAAGCGAACTCTCTTCATTAATGGGATCTCAAAATATGCTGAGCCAGAGAAGATCAAGAAGCATTTTGAGTGAGTCTCCCTGTGTCCGTAGTTAAAAGCTGCTCTGTAACAGGGATGTTTTTATTGGGGTAGTGCTAGTGTTCAGCTGGAATGGCAATAATACATTGAGAGCAGAAAGCTAGTCAAAATTGGCGAACACTTTTATTTTGGGCATCTCACTGTTAACTTTCTGCACAAATTTTTATCTGAATATGCAGTGTCCTTGGTTTTGTGCCCTGGGATATGCCCAGCTATCTCTTGCAGAGCCACAGGGAGGGGGTCAGTGTGGTAAAGCAGTGGACAGGGCACGTCCTGAGATACAGCCAAGTTCAGAGATGAGCTGCAGGCAGGAGGCGCCCAAGCCATGGCTATGGGATGTGCTGCTGCTCCTTCTGCCCTGATCACAGTCCTTGTAGAAAAGTATATTTTTCTTTTTAACAAAAAAATTAAATTCCTCTTCCATCAAGATCTCGGTGAACACACTCTCAGGGCCGTGTTTAGAAGCACCATGGGGAGAGGAGAAATGCTTTATACCCTTTGGGAGCCCTTCTGTCTCTTTCCAACCCAAGCCCTGTGGCCAGTGAAGGCAGAGAGGGGCTGTGGGGTCAGAGGGGTTCCTTGCTGCCACAGGGCAAAAGTCCGAAGAGGTTTCTCATGCCAAAGCCTGGAGGATGTAACATTTGCTCCATGTGTTGGTTCTGCTGTAAGGGACAGAGCCTGCAGGTTCCCCTGCTGCCCCCAGCAAGCTCTTGCTATGCGTCCTGATGCTCAGCCCGGGGTAGGAGAGGAGTCCTGGACACATGGGGTTTGCTTGAGGGTACAGCCTTTGGTTCCGGGTGTGATGAACTGATGCTTCCCATCTGCAGGGAGGCCTACGCCAACTGCACCGTCCTGGAAGCCCGTCCCTGCTATGATGTGGCCCGGCTGATGTTCCTTGACGCAGAGAGGTAACCCCTGGTTTGGGACAGAAGGCAGAGTGCGCCAATGCTGTGGGCTCCCCCTGAAATCTGGTGCCATAGGAGCTTTTCTGAGCCACCCTCTTTTCTTTCTTTCTCTTCTGCTCTCCTGTTTCAGGAAGAAAGCTGAGCGTGGGCGAATCTACTTCACCAACCTGCAGAGCAAGGAGAACACCCCATCCATGATCAACCCCAAGCCCTGCGGCCACTTGTGCTGCTGTGTCATCAGAGGCTGCGAGGAGGTGGGGGAGAGAACTGGAGGTGTTGGGTGGCGAGGCACATGGGGGCTTGGGTCCCCAGGTCTCTCCTCTGACCCCTGTCCCCCTGCCCAGGTGGAGGCCATCGAGTACTATACCAAACTGGAGGAGAAGCTCAAAGATGACTACAAGCGGGAGAAGGAGAAGGTGAACGAAAAGCCTCTGGGGATGGCCTTTGTCACCTTCCACAACGAGACCATCACAGCCATGTGAGTGCAAAGAGTCCTGTCCTCTCCAGGAAGGTGACCTGACCCAGCTCTCACCTTAAATCAGAGGAATGCCAGCACTAAGGCGTCCCCCTCAGCTTGTCTCTGCCAGCCCTCTCTGTCAGCATCTCCCTCTTTCTCTTCTCCAGAATCCTCAAAGATTTCAACGCTTGTAAGTGCCAGGGCTGTGCGTGCCGTGGGGAGCCCAGGGCCTCCTCCTGCAGCGAGTCCCTCCACGTCTCCAACTGGACTGTCAGCTATGCCCCTGACCCACAGAACATCTACTGGTGAGCAGCTCTGTGGGGCTTCCTTTCCACAGGGAAAGGAGTGCACCCTCCCTGACTCCTTCCCCATCTGCTTCTCCGGTAACTGAATGAGTTGTTCTTGCTGAAGCCCAGCCTGGCTGAGCTAGAGGTCTGATCTGACTTGGAGGGGGAAAGCCTTGGGCTGGCACCCCAAGTGCTGTTAGAATCATAGAATCATTTAGGTTGG